ACGGTTGGCGCGCCAGGTTACTGTGAAATAAATAAATATTGACTTTTTAATAAATTCACTCGACCTATCGCAAAATGAGGTAGGACCATTCCCATGGCAAGTGTTCCTTCGAATATCGAAGGTTTAGTTTAGACTACTCGCGTAAGAGAAAACCGAAGCCATCATTCTAAAAAAAAAAACAGGAACAGACAAACCATGTAACTACCATGTGACGTTGCTCCAGAATGGAAAGTGGGGGGAGCACGTAGGGAAGGTGACCCGGAAGGCTTCGAATAGTGTGCTTGCGTTGGGAGGATGATTCCCAATATTGGGGGAACCAAATCCGAAAGGAAGAGGGTCTTACACGGTGTTGTGTAGTCGATCGTGCTCTACGCGGCACCAGTCTGCAGAGAGGGCGGTAGAGATAACGGCTTACAGGAGGCTCATGACACGGTGGACAAAACAATTCTGTGGCGAGTGACATGGGCCTACAGGACTATGTCTGCTGTAGCCTTGTGGGCCATCCATGTGTTTCACTGCATGTTTTGGCAGTGGAAAGAAAAAAACTATATGAAAGAAGACAGGAAAGAAAAGGCTAATTTAAAGACGGCAAGAAAAATGGAGCAACACGGAAAATGTGGCACAGTGGACAAAGATGCTAATCCTGAACATAAGAGATTAGATGACTATACTGCGGATACTGTGACACATACGATGTTAGAGTGCAACAGATGGATAATAGAAAGGAACAGAATGGAAGAGGGACAGGTGTGAATTTTAACACAGTGAGATAATTATTGAAAATAAAGCAAGTTGGACTCGTATACACAACTATATCCGTGCAGTGATCAAGAAAAGAAAGAGGAAGATAGACAGCTGGACCAACGGCAAAGGTTAGAGGAAACGATGCTGTAAGTTGAGGGAATACGTTTTGATTAGAGGCGAAAAGTGAGTTAGACTGTGGGGAAGGAGAAAATGCCCGGCTGGGAGTGATGCTGAAGTAGGAACGATGAGATGTTTGGAACCAAAAAAGGGGAAACCTCCTGCCTCCTTGGGGCAGTCTGTGGGTAAAGGAGGTAGTACTTCGGAAGTTGATGTTCGGCTTATAGCGGCTATTCCGCTTCTGGTTTGCTGGATGACAGAGAACGGTCTGGCTTAGTATGTAGGCATTTGGCGTAGACTCGGCGACGAGAGGGCATTTTAAAGTACCTCGATACTACTACACTGATAAATAACCAATGCTTTATTGCTACTGGAAACAGAGGACGGTTAATTTATATATATATATTATAAATACAATATCCACAATTATTTTCGGCACAGAATCTTTCTAATACCGTTGACAGACCGTTGAAGACTAAGGTCGTGCGAGCTTAAAAAAATATGACTGCCTATATCATAATTGATCCTCGACCAAATGGAAGTCGCTCAGTAACACACACTCTTACAAGTTTGAGCGCGTAGGGCAGAATTTCGATACATCGGAAGACAATACACGACTTCAATCCTGTATTGTCCAGGACAAGTCTATTTTATTTTTGCAAATTCAATCTGGCATTTCGGTGTTCACGGAAAGCGGCGGTCAACGTTACTCTAGTTCGGGAAGATAAACTAGCGCCATGAAGTCGCCTCCTAACTGTCCATTCACTTACGTTTACATTTCTCACATTCTGGGAGATGATTTCGAATGGAAACTACCGTGATCATTCGGTTTCTCAAAGCACTAAAAACGACAAGCGGTCATCTCGAGCTGTTGTAATTCTTCCTCGGCCTGAACCAGGTTTTTGTGTAAGTAGACCGGTATCTTCGTACTGCTGTTCTACTCAATGCACACTCGAGAGACTTACACCTACGTTTCTCGTAGTTTCGCAGTGGCCATGTCCATCTTCTAACGCCGCCACAATTCTTGTCGCGACAACAAAAACTTATGCTCATTGCAGTACACTGACAGTGACAGCACTACACAAACAATTTACAATTGACGTTAAAACCCAAGAAACAAAAGCTATTCTAATATTGGTTTTTAGGAATTAGGGTAAGGAGCCATTTTTATCTCAAACGCTTATCGAAACAGCTACAACAATTTTGTTCAAGCAATCCATTAGTAAACTAAGTTACAACCGAAAATACTCAAAACAGAATAATATTTTTTTAAATAAATTCAAATTGCGGGTGACCCTAATTTTATGCTGGGCAGTGTATATGAACCTAAAATTTATCTAATATTGTAAACATTGTTTTAAGTTCCCGTGTCAATGACCATTAGTTGTCGAGACACGTAAATTTAAATAAAAAAAAATATCAGCCTTTTTATCTGTCTTCGACTTATCACTGTCTACCACTGCTTACTGGTTTTATGAATTTTAAGGTATTTTTGTTGATCCGAGTTCAGTTCTATATTGCTAACTAGACGAAATCAATAGTAAAGGCGGTACCAATATTTAGTACCGTCCCACCAGCAGTACTATACTATGATTTTAATTCGTTAGTGCAAAGACGGCCGAACTGGTTTGTTACTAATTGATTTTTAAGTACTTCCTTTTTATTTTAAGATTTGATTTGACGCACTTTGTAAAAAAGGTCCAACCTTCTGATTCACGAGTAATTTATTGGTCGTGAGCATTTTGCAGGTTTGGCCTGTACATTTTTTGTGTTTTGTAGTAGTTGAATTTATAAAGTAATAAATTCTTCCACAGGAATAACGTATTAATACATACATACAAATAAAAATATATAAATACTTGGGAACAAGGAATACAACACGTGGGAACTTGATCATATTATTGACAGCAGAATAGAACCGATACTAATTATTTCTCTTTCGCTGGACGACAATTCATCCGAGACAAAATAAGAGGAAGTATAACTATAAATTGTAGCGCTCAGAATTTTAGATCCTCCCGGGAAACAAACATACCAGGCGATAAGTTGCAAGGGACGAGATTTATCCGCGTGAACGGTGTGTGTGAGAGAATGATTATTTTACATTTTCTACAATTAACGTTGTGTACATGGTTTTAGGTAGTTATTAAATAAATCCTAATATTTGGCATATTTTTCTTTTTATTTTGTTGTAGTATAATTGTGCAGGTTTTGTTAACATATGTATTAAACATTAACATTAAACTCGTGTACACATGATACTACTTTTCCAACTCTTTGCTTGCAATTTACTGCGAATGTAGCATACTTCCACACCATTCCGACAGCTAGTCTCTCGTCTCTTCGGTATCATGTTACGAACTACTTTCCGTACTATTTCCTCTAGACGTTTATCGTTTGTTCGTAGCTCTCTTTAGAGGTTCGTACTAGCTGTTTCATATTCCAAGGCAATGGCGAGCGCTTCATTTAATACTTTCGGTCTTGCTAGTCGTAAAGCTTTCTGTGGTTCACTGTCTCTCAATCCATTGATGAAGGTATCTACAGCAATTTCTTCAAATATGTTGTTTGGTGCCTCCGGATAAGCCAATAGCGCTATGCTAGTAACATCTGCTTCAAATTCTTGCAAATTCTTACTTGTTCATTGAATTCTACTTCTTATTTGTATTTTGTAGACTTGTAGTAGATGGCAATCTCCGTAACGTTTTTCTAATCAAGAGAACAAGGTCTGGTAACATTTTTCTTGATCCTAGGAATCGATCTTAGGATATCCGCAGCATCGCCTCGTAAAGCAGCAGTCAAGGAAACAACCTTTGCTTATTATGTCCAATGATTGGTTGTCGCAGTAGCTTCCAATTGTCTAAGGTATATCGACCAAGAAGACTTCCCACCAAATGGTGGCAATTTCAATCTAATATGATGTATCGTTTCGTCTCTCGGTGATTCTTCTTTTACTACAGGATCTAAAACTACTGCATTAACTGGTGGTAGGACTTTCCTATTTTTTATCATGCCCTCCAACTGTTTAATCTTCTCGTCTTCCTTATCGAATGTTCTAGAAAGTTCTTCAAATTTCTTATTGGTCTGACTACATACTAAGAAGTCCCGTAAAATCTACTAGAAACATTTTCAAATTTCTCTTGTTTAAACTGCTTCTTCTGTAGACTGAAACTGAAATGTCTTTGTGTCATCTCCATTCTTGTTGAGAACATTATTCAGTCTTTCTTGAAGGATCTTCTTGGACCCGCTGCAGTCTTCATCGCGTTCTTCTATTTGCTCACGCAACTGTTTTACTGAAAGTTCTACTAGAAGCATCTTTGATCAGCACACACGTACTTTACAAATGTTCTTTCTTACGAAAATCACAAACGACTACGCAGATTTTCCCGATGAACAATACTTTTTAAAAGTTCAAAAGTCACTCCTGAATTTATTTATATATAAATAAATTACCTCACACCATAACACCACTGTAGCGTTTTACCAATAAAACGAGCTGTTCTAATTTATGTAAATATATTTATTTTTAATTTTACAGTACGATAATATCTTGTCAACTACTAAAGTAATATCAGCGCAGCTTATATATACAAGTTATTATGTACTAGAATAATCTCGAATAGTCCACCTCTATTCTCGCTTGTATTAACGCCTCGATTTGTCAGCCGGTCGATACATCAGAACATTCTCGAACACATATCATCGTCTCGAAATGCAACCGTTATATGGGGTACGTCGAAATAAGCTTGTTTGTTACAGTATTTTGGCTCTCGAACTTTAGTTTTCCGAGATTTACACTACCCTATTTTTAAAATACACTCTAGTAATCAAAAATAACTTCAGCATATTCTAGCACTTAAGAGAGGATTAATAAAGAATGTAACATTTACAAACCGCAATATGCCATGTTTTACAAGTAAATCAGATTGTTTGGACCAACCAAAACGAATCTGGGCAACACTCAACAGAATAAGGACTAACTGTGGCAGGTTATATTAGCTTTAGCAATCTTTGACATGTAACAAATTTTGAGTTGATCATGAATGGTCCAACATAAACTAATTTCTATGAAGAATTACAATAAAATTCTCTTTACATTGAAACATGTAAGCTCAAATGTTTAAAATATCATTTTGTTTCAGTGTGTCCGACGAAGACGGCAACCTCGCAACATGCGCCTGATGGAGATCGAATTGGTGAAGGGTAACAAAGGTCTAGGGTTTAGCATCGCCGGTGGTATAGGCAACCAACATATACCCGGTGATAATGGGATCTACGTCACGAAGGTGATGGACGGTGGCGCCGCTCAAGTCGACGGCCGGTTGCTGGTTGGGGATAAGTTGGTGGCAGTAAGAGATGCCGTGGTAAGTTTATTCATAACATTAACGATTTACCAATAAAATACAGGGTATTTACAAATACTTGACAGCGATAAAAATTTGAAAGCCAAACAGGTCGTATGGAGGTGTATTATAAATATGATTTAAAAAAAATAGTTACTTCTTGAAACTAAGATTACTTGATATATAGAAATCAATATATGAAACAAGTTACTTGAGTATAAGAATTTTTCAGAATATCTTCTGATCAATGACAAGATATATCAGATATTTATTCATGGTTACCGTCTCACAAAACGTGTTTAAATAAATATTATGATCTTCTCGGTGAACGTGATGTGGGGAACGTTGACTAACATCTGAGGATTTACCAATGCTGAATTTTAGGAACTGAAATAAAAGGTATTAGATATTTGTTGAAGCAATATTATTTATTGCATAAAAAATATCCTTTATGTCTGCAAATTTAATAGTATTGTTTTTGGCTGCTACATAAGTTTTCGCTTCTGCCTAGATGAGTTCAACCGGATTGAGCTGACAATGGTATGGGACTATTTTGTTTTGTCTTGTTTATAAGACGTTACCCAATCCCATACTTTGGATTTGGTGTGACCAGCGTTTAGCCCAATCTCGTCTAAGGAATGCATTGTGCAGTTTCATTTCGGCGGTGGAATGTGACTCAGATAATAGGAGGAAGCCAATAGTTCGGTGTGGGTCTAATTGTACCTGAGATCATTCGCATTGTCTTGTTTAATTGGGTGTCAACAATCTTCGTGTGTTTGCTATTGAGCCATACCGGGGAAGTATATTCAGCCGCCGAGTATACAAGTCCGAGAGTGGATGATCTGAGTATGGAGGCTGAGGACCCCCATGTGCTGCTACATAGCTTTTGAACTATATATTCGTGTGTTCAGTTTTGCTGTCGTTTATTGTAAAACTTAATGTTCTGTCCAGAGTCACTCCAAGATATTGTGGTGTTGAGTTATGAGTGAGCAGTCTGTTTTCAAAGTGAACGGAGAGTTTTTTGTTGACTTGGGCATTATTCAGATGAAAACAACACACTTCGGTTTTCGTTGCATTGGGCCGTAGCCTCCAGTTGCGAAAGTATTCTCCCATAATGGCAAGGTCCTCTGTTAGTATTGTTTCTGTAATATTCATGTTATTATGTCTTGCTTTAATGGCCCGTCAATGGTCGTCAGCCTAGCCAAATTTCGGTCAAGTTGTCCCTGGTAGGTCCGCGATGTATAAATTAAACAGTAAGGGTGCCAAAACAGATCCCTGTGGCAGTCCATTATTGAGCTTCATTTGGACACTTTTAAAGTTGCCCATTGTGACTATCAATGTGTTTAGTTACCTTTTGACACAGGATGGCACGGATTAGTTTGCAAATTGGTCTTTGCCTCCAGACAGTATCGTATGCAGCTGATAGGTCAATGAAAGCAACGGATGTTTTTTGATTTCTTTGAAAACCTGCTTCAATATGTGTTTTTAGGGATAGGATCTGATCTGTGTAGCTGCGGTTAGGTCTGAACCCTGCTTCCTCAATAAGTATCAATTCAAATATGTTTCTACTAATTATGTTGTAGATTAAGCGCTTTAACAGTTTATAGACACATTTCTGGTTTTAATATGGCTATAATGGAGAACATTTTTAGTGAATGGGGGATTTCTCCTGATTTTAACATATTTGTATAGAAATCAGCTAGCCATTTCCTAGCATATTTGTCACAGTAAAGTAAAAATTCTGGATGGATTTTATCGAAGCCGGGTGCGTTTCCAGACTTAATTCTGATATTGCTGAAATAATTTCTTCTGGAGTAAGCTCATCAGAGTATTCAGATGTAGGCGGGCATGCAGACTTTAGTATTTTTAGTTTTTGTTTTACTTTGGTGGTATGTTCACGATCTCTAGGTTCTTGAGATGGCTACAATGTGGAAGCCACTCTATTGGTACTTTGTCTCTAGTTGGGAATCTGCTACTACTAAGTTCTCTATGTAAAGACCATGCTTTTCTGCTTTATTTACCAAAGTTTAATTTTTCCAATGTTTTTGTTGTATTCTTTATACGGTTTCTACACGTTTATACAATTTTTCATATTTTTCATCCCATCCTGGGACATACTGTTTACAATTTCCTCTGGATATAGTTTTCTTCGCTGTAGAGATAACGTGCCAACAAATTCCATGTAGTTTGTATGTGTTGGGGTTATCCAACCCATATTTAGTAGAAATTTTATATTCTTAAAACTACTGTCTTGATTTTTAACAAATGAATATTGGGAATTACGTCTAGAAGGTATTTAAATGAGCTACAAGTAAATTGGTGTTCTAGAAGATTTTTATTTAATTTTCTTATTTATATAGACATAATATAATTTTTTTTTGGCATAGACTTTTAGTCATTCAGACAGACTCAACATGGTACAAATAGTTGTCTGAGTTTATATTATTAAATCTACAAAACAAAAAACAGGTAAACAGGGTCACTCTCTTCTCGCCTAGGGGCCCATCAAGGCATTTTTTAAAAAGACATACACCACTAGGCCACGGTAAGAAAGGAATTTGACAATTGGGTTAGAAACAAAGGTTATGTTATTAACTAATGCATAATTATTTACATGGTTATTTTACTATCCTTTAAAAACATAACTAACGAGTCATACACTGCTCTCGAGTCTAGTGATAATAAGTACTGAAGGTTCCAAGGGGCTAATATATTATGTTTATGTAAGTTATTTATTAATCTTTATAAAATAATAGTATTTCTGGGGCAACTGAAAAATATCTGATCTAGGTTTCCTTTTTCTGTACAAAATTCACATCGATCATTATCTAAAACCTTGAGTTTAAATAAATGTTTGGGGTAACAAGCATGTCCAAATCTCAGTCTAATGATATATTTACTTGTTCTATCTGCATTTAAACCACATTTTCTTTATAATACTTCCTGAGGCTGCAAATCTCTGTGGAAATATTTTAACAACGAAATAAAAAGGTAAAATCACTTTATCCGATATTACTTCCCGTATTTTATTATATATTCCAATATTTTATATGGGTATACAGACGACTACTGAAAATAACCTGGGTCGACAGAGTTAGAAATGAGGAGGTCCTTAGACGGCTGAGCCAAACAACACAACTGGTCAATATAATAAAGAAACGCAAGCTGGAATACTTCGGTCACATTATGAGACACCCTGAAAAATATGATCTTTTACATCTGATCTTCAGGGAAAGATCCAAGGTAATCGTGGTCCTGGTAGACGAAGAACATCATGGCTGCAAAATCTAAGGCAATGGTATGGAAAATCAACTACATCGTTATTTAGAGCTGCTGTCAATAAAGTCACGATAGCGAATATGGTAGCCAACATGATATCCAACGATCGATAACGGTCATGGAACTAGAAGAAGAAGAATATTTTATATTTATTATAGAAATTTTAGAAATTAACCTACTTTACTGTCTTGATTTTTAAGAAATGAATATTGGATATTACGTGTAGAAGATATTTAAATGGGCTACAAGTAAATTGGTGTTCTAGAAGATTTTCATTTAATTTTCTTATTTATATAGACATAATATATTTACTTTTTCTATCTGCATTAAAACCATATTTTCTTTATAATACTTCCTGAGGCTGCAAATCTCTCTGGAAATATTTTAACAACGAAATAAAAAGGTAAAATCACTTTATCCGCCATTACTTCCCGTATTTATTTTGCTTTAATTCCTTAAAGCGAAGTTATGAAAATATAAGAGCAACTGCAAAATGCAAGATTTGCAACACTCCAAGTTTTTCCTTAAAATATTCATTTTCTCATAAAACTGCTCATTCTGAATGCGTGCATTAAATCTCAGGAAACCTTGTTGGAATTCGTTAATTTCTCTGTAGATGAAAGACGGAGCGAGATGGATAGATAAAAGGAAAATGCACGTAAGAATTTTAGATTGGATTACTTGGCAGTGAAACCTTATTTTCTGTGGGTGCAAGATGAATTATAAAAGCTTTCAGAGCATTGATAGAGCCTTTACTGAAAAAGAACATAACTTCAAGTGTAGATTGCAACGCAAATGTTTGTTAACCGTAGAAATTTTGATTTAGTCTCGGCTTTAGCTGCCTTTGAAACATTAAAGAGATGGATTTATAGTTGGTTACCATCGGGATGATACTAATACATTTATAATGTTACTTAAGTTGTATAATATTCACTCTAAGCGATTGGGAATTTTAACCATTTTAGAGATTTAGAGATAGAATATACTGGGTGAGGCATGAGGAACTTTACATACTTCTACCATATGTAGAGTCCCTCAGGGAGCATATCATGTGGCCACTAAAAATGTCAACTCCTCTTCTTTATTAATTAACAGGGTGATTTGTGTAATTGACCATTTATTTTATTTTACTGTAGTGTTTATACGGCTCATTTGATTTTTTTAATTTTTAGCATGATACAGTACACTAATATCAAGTATTCGACTGGTATTAGCTAAACTAAAAAATTCCAGGACTGGCTTTGGAAAAATTAATTTAGGATTCGTATTAAATATTACACCCTGTATATATATATTTTTTAAATGCAATAAGTGATTTTCAAACTACATAAATAGCCAATGAAAACGACATATGCGACAATGTTGTCGCACTTTTATTAAATTTTTAGTGAACGATCAAATCTTACCAAAAATAGAACAACCATAATGAAGTATCAAATTATAAGGTATTAATTTATCAATCCAATCAAAGAATCAATTGTTTTTCAATTTTAAATTTTTACTCATAGATCGTATTGGGGCATTATTTTCGATAAATAATAAATTAAATTGATTAAAAAGTCAAACCTCTTGTTTGTATTAGTTTTGGTTGATTGTAAATGATTAAAATTTTATGTCAAATAATAATACCATTGCATCAACTGTACTAAATAAAAATAAATCTAAAAAAGTTTACAATGAAGGTTGGCGTTGACCGTTTGACGTTTCTTGATATTTTATACCCATTGTCATTATTGTCATTA